TGATGTGTTCAAGCAATTTATGTATTCTTTGATTGGGTCCTTTGCTTGAATAAGGTAAATCTCAAATGGATCCTCATAAGTATTTTTCTGCAAAATCTCATCAACTATATTAATAACAAAATAATCGTTAAAATCAAATTTGGTTAAAGGAGACTCCCCATTGAACACTTCAAATGACACTTGAGCTTTTTCCTCTTTTTCCTTAGGGACATCCTCTTGTTTAGTTTCTACAAGTATGCTTTCTACTTCTCCAAGTTGTCCTCCAATCTCCAAAGATAAGGTGTTTTCCTCTTCTTCTTGATGTTTCATTGTTGCACTAGGTAACTCACCTTGTATTTCTTCAGCAACTAAGTTGAGCAAATTATATCATTTAAATAAGCAATCATGATTGAAATGATCAAATCCACACCATTCACACGTGATATTTAATTGTTCTACTAAAGCCCTCTTTAATTTGATCCTTTCAATGACTGCTTGAAATCGTTCAAAGTTCATCATCGTCAAGTTCTGCATCCCAATTGATAGTTATTGCTTCAACTTGTGCTCTTATTTCGAGTACAAGCCATTGATAATTTAGATCAGTGTTTAGGCCAACTAGAACCATAGTTAAACCTATAAAAACAAAAACAAGGAAACAGAAAAAAAAAAAATCAAAGTAAAGAAATAAAAGAAAAGAAAACGTTCAAATTAAATTTAAAATTAATCAACTCTGATATTAATTAAATCAACAATCCCTAGTAGCGACGCCAAGAACTTGATGCACTAAGATCATCCTAGCAAATGGACTAGTCGCTCCAAGTAATATAATGATGAGAGAGTATCGAACCCACGAGAATTGTGTTTAACTAAGTACCAAATTAATTGATCCAAATTTATTTGAACAATCAAAAAGGAAAAAAGTTTAACTACGAAATAATAAAAGGAAAATAACAATTAAATTAAATCTAACCAAGATATGAGGTATTAAAACATTGATTTCACCATAATCAATCAATATAAATTCTGAATTAATATACTTTCAAAACCAATTTATTGAGTGTTATTGCATGTGATGGCGGATTTTCTTAAATTAATTAATTAGTTTTCTCAAGTCAAGTTAATCTTTCACTGGTTTATTAGATTAATCATATCTCTATATAATTTTAAACAAACTAATGAATATTAAATTCTATGAAAACCTTTAACTTAAAAAGGGGGAGCTCCTAACATGTGAGCTAATTATCTCTCGATCTCATAGTATAACACGTGGTTTATATTATTATTAGTCTAATTTACACAATTCTTTCTCAACTTCATGCATAAATCACTAAATCAATCGAAAGATGATCATACTTCCAATACATTAAATTCAATAATATAAACTCCTCATGCAAATAACTTTAATTGAAAGCATAAAATCACAATATCTATTTGAATTGGTTAGACTACATCGTAGCCCTAGTAGAATAAATCAAGTTATAATAAAAATAATAAAATCTAAAGACATAGTTATGAACATTTAAATATCAAACAATAGATAAAAATAAAAAAATAAAAAAAAAACAAAACCTAATTTGAGGAAATTGAACTCTTTGATCTTTTATTATTGATGGAACCTCTATCTTGATTTTCAAGAATGCTCAAAAGAGGGCTACCACTAGCCTCTCCCAAGCTTCCTTAATTTTGAATTTGGATGGGTATTTGTAGGATTTTAGAAACTCTAGTTGGGATAAAAGTAGGACTTGAAGTATAATAGGAAAGTTGAATTTTGGATCTTGAATGTACAGTGCTGACACTTCGAATTACGTGTTAACACAAAATAGGAAATAGAAATTTTGATTATGGACTATTAACACATGGTGTCGACACCCCGATTATGTGTCGACACTACACTCGTGTTGAGTTTCCCGTCTCTTCGCAATTTCTTCAATGGTAAAATAGCAAATTTGGTCCTCTAGCTTTCGTACAATGAGCACTTAGATCTCAAAACTCAAGATTCATTCATTAAGTCCCAAAGAAACACCCTTCTTCTTGTAATTCAGTCCCTCAATTTTCAAAAGATGTTCAATTAATCTCAAAACGCTTATTATTATGCATTCAAGTCCTTTTCTGCACAAAGAATAAAACCATGTAAATTCTCATAAAATTCATCCAAATATTAATAATATCAAGGCAATAATTCCATATTAATATCTATATAAATTCAGCTCATTATCGATGAATGTTGCTTTTGGCAATGCTAACTCTATTATAATAATCAATAGAAAATAGAATAACAGATTTGATGTGGAAAATAGATCATGTGGGTCTTTCCTAGTCACAAGTCCAAAATCGATTTTGCTAAAGTGGTGCTGCACATGTTGTAAATTTCAAAGCAATACAAATTCAACCCTCAACAATGTGTTTATTTAAATATCTATTGTAATCATCTTCTTAAAATAAAGGTACAATAGGAATAAAAACTTTTAATTATATTTTTAATTATAAAGTAAGATTATTAATTTTATTAAAAGGTAAAACAATTAAAATTGAACAAAGGGAGTAACACTTAGTAATAACCACAACACAATATATTAGAACAATACTCAATATGACCTTTGTGTTAGACAAATATCTCAAGGGTTGGAGTTGAGTTTCTATATTTGAGGTTTCAAGTTTAAATATGAAAGCCAAGGAACTAAGTGGTTTAGTAGTAATTTTTTTCGTGTGAAAGTAAGAGATTTTAACTTCAAGTTGAATGGTATGCTGATGGAGTGTGTTAAAGAATTAAAAAAGGTTGCCTGTAGTATAAGATCCAAAAAAATAATAAATAATAAATAAATAAATAAAAGAAATTTGAATATGAAATGAATTAAAAGAAATATTAACATTTGCATTGTAATCTATAGAAAATGAAGCCTCCAATGGAATATCTCAACTAGTAAGATCTAGAGACTACAAGTTAAAGATCTCATGTTTGAATTTTGTTATACCTAAAATATGTTCTTGGATGCCTATTGATACCTAGCCTAAGTAAGGAAATCTCCCTAAATATTTCAAGTAATCATCGACTTGCTTGAAAGACATTTTGGGCAAGGATGTGTGGGGGGTGCTTATTAGAGGACTGGGTCATGTAGAGATGACTTAGGGAATTGGGTACAAGTAATGATATTGAATACTTCCCACTCATTTGCTTTCACACACACTCTCTATTCCTTTCCTCTCAATACTTGTGAAACTTTGAGGAATTGATATTTTTATTTTCTTTCTAAAGTTTTTAAATCAGCTTGAGAAAAAAATAAACTTTTAAATTAAAGTAATAAACAAATAATTAATAGTTAATAAATCAAATATTAAATTTAGCTAAAAAATTATCATAAAAAAATTGCTTATATGACAAACTTGGTATCATTAATATCATGTGTTGTAACCTTAATGGTCCATGTAGACTTAAGTCATAGCTTAAATAGGTGCTTAATATCACCTTAAGAACAATAAGGAAAGCTCTTTTAGGAGAACATGCTCGAGTTAGTCCCAATCCTAATTTTCAATACCTTAGTAGGGTATGCCTAAAACTAAGATAGTTGAGTTGTCTTAAGCGTCCTAGGTTTTTTTTTTTTTAGATCGGCAAAAGAAGATTTTATTATAGAGGTACAAGGGGTACCTCAAACCTGTTACATCACAAAACGGGAGGAAAAAGATTTTAAGGGGTTGACTCTTACATTTTCCAAACCCAAAATCATTAAATAAATTGATCCCTTACCTTCTTACTGTACAAAATGATGTCTTATCAATTGAGGCCCTACAAGCTTCCTTTGGATTACTGAACCAGATTTGTTGGGATAAATTAGGGATCCATCTTGTTTTAATCCATGTGAGAGAGCGATATTTGATAAGATCTAGCACGTTTTCGGGATTCAATGTCTCCCCCTTGAAAATGAGTGAGTTTCTTGATAGCCAGATAGACCACACTGAGAAAAATCATATAATTGCCCACACTTTTCTGACTATTCTTGGGTTGACGAGGCCCATGTGTTGCTTAAGATGATTCCATCCTCCTTATAGTGCTGCCATTTTAATGCCCCACCAATCATAGCACAGGCACCATATTTTCCATGAGTTTGAGCATGAGAAGAGGATATTTTTGAAGTCTCAGTCTTATCTTCACAAAATATGCATGTTGTTGTTGTTACTTCCATAATCATTCGTCTTTTCAAAAGATTATCCTTGGTGGGAAGCCTATTTTGTAATGCTCTCTAGACAAAAGCAAAAATTTTCAGTGGCAATTTGTTGTTCCATATCAACTTGGCAGTTTTCTTGACTCTAGTTTAGAATTGCGTAAGCTGATCTCATTGTATATGAGCTTTTTGGATCATACTTCCCCATCCATTTATCGTCCTTGCCTTGTGTTAGTTGTATTCCCTGAAGCAACCAGAGTAGTTCCTGCAACAAGTTAGTTTCCCATGCAAATAGACACCTTCTCCATCTCCAATTCCACATCCATTCCTTATTTTTCCAACTACCCATATTTGCAATAACAACATCTTTATCCCTAGACAAGCTAAACAATCTACTGAACTTCTCCTTTAGAGGCTTGTCCTCTACCCAGATTTCATGCCAAAACAGGGTATCCTTTCCTTCACCCACTATTTTAACTACCCCTTCCTTAAACCATCCTTCTCTTTCACCTTTTGCCCGGTCTAGTTCCCACAATTCTTTCCACCATTTTGAACTTGGCCTTTCCATTTACAACCTTCCCACACTTTTCTTTTATCCTATACTTAGCTTCCAACACCTGTTTCCATAACGCCTATTTCTCTACTAGTAGTCTCCACCTCTACTTCCCTAGTAAAGTTAAGTTAAATTTATTTAGCTCTTTAACTCCTAGCCCCCTGTCACGCCCCATAACCCAAATCTGAGAACGTGGCAAACGCCGTGCACTTATGAGAGGGTCCCACAAATGCACAAGGCTTAGAATTTACTGAGTTCTTAATTTTCGAATTGGATAATTCAAATCTAAAACTTAAGTAAAATTTAACTTTCCATTTCCAAAAACTTTACTATTCCAGATATACAAAAGTTTATAAACGGTCATGGCTGTAACCAAGGAAACTCTGTACACAAAAATGGTTATTTGAGTCAACCATGTGAGATTAGCGGCCTAACTCCAAAAGATCTAAATCCAAAATAATGCCTAGCTGTCTAGCTCGTCACTCCCCCGGCTCCCCACGTGTCGGGTATCACTACCTGAAATGGAGGACAAGGAAAACTAAGTGAGATAAAATATCTCAGTAAGTAAAAATATGGACAGCCCTTGATAAAAATTTAAGCATGCGAAATAAACCATGTAAGCATAACAAAACTTTCAATGATAAACCATTCATGCATAATAAAACTCATCAGTAGTCTCATCTATAAGTCATGGTCAGTGTTTAACAAACTCCCACTGGCAGGCGTCAGTAATAACTAATGTTACACCCCATTGGCAGGGTTACAGAAGTACCAGTGTTTAACAAACTCCCACTGGCAGGCGTCAGTAATAGTACCAGTGTTTAACAAACTCCCACTGGCAGGCGTCAGTAATGACCACTGTTTAACCCCATTGGTAGGGTGAACCGGTTCTACAGAATAGTACATGTCGACATGTGCTAGTGTTTACAAACTGCCACTAGCGTGCGTCAGTAATCATAACTATATCAAAGACAAAACCATGCAGAATTTCCAGAAAATCCATAATTCACCATCAAATCTCAAATTTCAAAAATAACCAGAAAATCCCATGTGGGCATGGATTTAACAGAAAATCATAATTTACAAAAAATTCTTAAATCATCAGAGCAGTTTAGTAAGTTCCAAGTGGCATGCTCTACTTCAGAAAAAAAAATGAAATTCTCATTTTCATTCCAATCATGCTCAATTCCAGAAAAAATAAGGAAATTCTCATTAAAAATCATCCAAAATTTCATTTCAGTTTAATCACACTCATATGCTGATAAAATCAATTTAAAATTAATTTAAACCTAGCCACCATCTCAAAAACAGTTTAAAATATGTTTTAAAATCAAAGGGCTTTACCATAAATTTACTTACCTCAAATCTGTAATACTGGGAACTCAAGCCAAGTGCTCGGGTGATAGAACACTCAAGAACCTAATCAAAATACCCCAGAATTAATAACCATATAAAAACTACCTATTTAATCCTTTCTAATGTTACCGACAATTAACCCCATAAGGAAATTTTATTTCTTTTCTTTATTTATTTATTTCATCCAATTTTGGGCATCACAATCGGATTGTGTGTATATATGTATATATATATATACACAATCACAAATATAAATGGTTTCCAATTCCACGGATAGCTATGGAGAAACCGAGCTTTGGCCAAAACAACAAGTCACAGAATGTCATAAGATTCTTTCACAATTAACATCACAGCAACCAACTCAAGCTAACCTCCACTTAAATTAAACAAAACCCACTTAAAGCTACCAAAATTCATTCCACCTTCCAGCACAATTTCACCTAAATTTCTTCCATTTTCGGACAGCAAAAAGGGCAATTCAAAAGCAGAAAATCCAATCAACACAAGGCAGCAACTACATGGATAAATTGGACTTGGAGGAGCTGGCAACTTACCAGAATTTTCCGGCAAGCAAAAGCTGGGTCAGGCGGTCAGAGAGGCTGCCGAAAATTGGAGAGAAATCAGCACAAAATTGAAGGAAATAAGAGCAATTAGAGTGAACCCAACTTGAATTAAGGCTAAAGGGATGATTTCCTAGTTGTTCCCTTACCAGAAAAACCGGGAAGCACTCCACCGACAAGAGCAGCTTGCGGAAGGACAGAGCAGAGCAGAGCAGATCCGAAAATCTGCAGAAGGGGGGGATTTCTGGGTTCACTTCCAATCCTAGAACAAGAAAGAAGGAGAAAACTTCAAGCTCTTACCGGTTTTTCTCAAGAAGAGTGTGTCGGTGGCTGTGGGGGAGGTTTTCGGGAGGCAAGGTCGGGAAGGAGAAGAAGATAAGCAGAACACGTGACTGGATGAGGAAGAAAGAGAAAGAAAGAAAAAGGAAATTTTTTTGCCGACCTTATCCAATTTTCTCTTTTAAGTCCCTAAACTTTGAAAATTTCTATTATTAAGGCCAACAACATTATTCTCTCACAATTAAGTCGATAACTCACCCTTAAATATCTTAGAAATTTTGGGGATATTACACCCCCCTTCTAGCTTACTCTTGCAAATATTTTCCCATTTAACCCAAGCTATTTTCCTATTTCCTTCACTTCCTCCCCATAAGAAGTTTCTTTGAATTTTTGTAAGTAAAAGGATTACCTGTTTTGGTGCTTTGAGGGTTGAGAAGTAGTAGACGGGGATGTTTGAGATGACAGATTTCAGAGGAATGATGCGTTTGTCGAAAGACAACAAATCCCTCTTCCAGTTTGACAGTCTCTTTCGCATGGTATCTACCATCGAGGTCCATGTTGATGTTCTTTTCGGGTTTGTACCAATCAACACCCCTAGATACTTGAAGGGAGTTTGGCCTGTAACACAATTCAGCTTCTCTGCAAACTTATCCAGGTCATTCGTTTCAACATTCAGTCTTATGAGGGAGCTCTTGAAGAAGTTTACTTTTAAGCCTGATAACAATTCAAAGCATCTTAGAACACTCTTTAATGTCGCCACATTCTGATCAATTGCTTCACAAAGGAATATAGAATCATCCACAAATTGGAGGTGTGAGATTTTCAAGCCACTTTTCCCCACTTCAACACCCTTGAACAAGTTGTCTTCCACTGCTTTTAGTATTAGCCCGTTTAGAGCTTCTGCAATTATGAGGAACAAGAATGGAGCCAAGGGGTCCCCTTGTTGAAGTCCCTTCTCCATTAGGAACTCTTCAGTGGGACTGCCATTTACCAAGATTGAGACCGTTGCTGATGAAATGCACTCTTGAATCCAATTTCTCCATTTGGGGCACAATCCTAGCTTATTCATCATGCTATTGAGGAAGTTCCAATTTACACTGTCGTATGCCTTCTCGAAGTCTGCTTTGAAGATCAAAATTGGCTTTTTGCTGTTCTTGGCTTCATCAACCATCTCATTAAGTATGATAATGCCATCAGTGATTTGCCTGCCTTCAATAAATGCTGATTGGTGAAGGCCAATTAACAGGCCCATCACTTTCTTTAATCTGTTTGCTAATATTTTAGCAATGATTTTGTAGATGCAGCCAATAAGTGAAATTGGTTTGTATTCTCCCAGATTTTGAGGGTCCTCCTTTTTTGGAATTAGAACAATGAATAAGGCATTACTCCCTTTAGCTAGCTTGCCGTTTGTGTGAAATTCTATCACATAGTCACATATGTCCTTTTTTAATGCTGGCCACATTTTCTTAATGAAATTGAAGTTGAAGCCAAGGTTTTTAAAATCGGACCGGATCGGTCGGTTGAACTGGTCGGACCGGTATTGATAATGAAAACGGTTCGATTTACATAAAAAAACCATTTGATGTTAAAATCGATCAAAACCAGTAGAACCGGTGGAACTGGTAAAACAGATAGAACCGAAAAAACCACCGGTTCAATTTCTCATGCAATCTTCTTTCTATTTTTTCCAATTTCACCTTCACCATTCCTTTTTTATACCGATTTTAACCCTTAATTTTAATAAAATTACAAAATTTCCTGCCCCTCTCATCAGATTCTCCCTTGTTGTTTGGACTGGCCGGTTCACTGATTCAACCGATTGAACTGATCAAATCAAAAATCGAACCTGAAAACGGTTCAATAACCAGTTTGGTTTTAAAAACCTTGGTTGAAGCTATTTGGTCCTGGGCTTTTACTTCCATTGCACCCCTATACTGCTTCTTGGATTTCCTCTTCTATGAAAGGAGCCACAAGTGAATTGTTTTCCTCTCTTGAAAGTTTTTTGAAATTGTCCAGTCTCCAGTTTGGTCTTTCCCATTTATCTTCTTTGAACTTTCCTTTGAAGTAATCTTGGATAAACTTCTTGACTTCCTTCATATCTTCTACCCATTCGTCATTAATTAAAACTCCCTCAATCTCGTTTTGTTTTCTCCTTTGCACCACAGAGTGAAAGTACTTACTATTTGCATCCCCTTTCTTTAGCCATTTGTGTCTTGATTTCTATTGGAATAGACTATCTCTTACATCATTCCACTCCCATAGGTTGTGGAAAACCTCTTGCCTTCTCTTTATCTCTATGTCTAAGGGTGTGTCTACTTCCCCTTTCTCATCTAGTGCTCTTATTTTTTCTTTTGCCCTTTCTATGTTACTGTCAATAGCTCCGAAAACATCTCTGTTCCATCTCTTCAATTCAACCTTTAACATTTTCAATTTTTCTTTCAATCTGTAACACCCCTAGCCATTGACTATCATGTTATTCCATCTGTCTTGTACAAATTTAGCAAAGTCCTCATGATTCCACCAGCAGTCGAGACATTGAAATGGTTTTGGGCCCCAGTCGACGGTTGTATTTTTCAACAATATTGGGCAATGGTCTGAGATATCCCTTCTTAGACCCTTTTGTGTAATGTCAGGGAAGCATAATTTGAATTCATGTGACAATAAAAATCTGTCTAACTTACTCATTGTAGTGCCATCAGGTTTGTACCATGTGAATTTTCTGCCAATGAGTGGAATCTCCATAAGCCCTGCCTCCAAAATGAATTTGTTAAACTGACACATATCTACTGGGTCATTCCACTTGCCCTTTTTCTCTTCATTGCTCCTTATTGTGTTAAAATCACCTGCCAGGCACCAGTTTCCTCCTATAGAATTTTTTATTAGGCTTTGTAGTTCTACCCTCATCAACCTTTTCTCTTGTTTATTACATGAGGAGTAAATATTTACAAAGGAGCATGGGATCTATTCAGCACCCCAGAATCCAAACATGCCGCAGAAACCTAGCCCTTCCAACTCCTTATTCATTGTGAAGATTTTGGTATTCCATATGCATAATAGTCCTCCTATAGTGCCCCGTGCTGCTTTCATTACCCATCCACAATTTTCAGACCCCCAAATTGAGTACACCAATCTATCACTACTTTTCTCTAGTTTTATTTCTTGAATGAGGATTATATCTACCTTTTCTTTCTTAATCAACTCCCTTACTGCTCTTCTTTTACTGTTCTTCCCCAATCCCCTAACATTAAGTGACAGGATCTTCATTAATCTACTAACTTTACTCCTTTTTTCTCAGCTTTTGTCACTCTTTGCTTTGCTAGTGCAATTCTATCCCTCCTCTGCATGTCACATAGTTTGTCCATGATTTCCCCCTCATTACTCTTTTCTGCTAGGCCTAATTGCTTCCTTATCCTCCATATTTCTTTTGCTTCCTTACCTCAGTTGTGTTCTACTTTTCGATTTGCTCTGGTTGGACAACCCTCTGCTTGAGACTCTTCTTCATTTATGCTTTTCTTGTTCTTGCCCTTCAAATCTGAATGGATCTTTAGTTGTGCTTTCTTACTGCTAATTTTCTTACTCTAACCTTTTTCTTCCCGATTTTCTCTGTTGAGCAAACCTTTCCACCCTAGATTGTAGAATCTCATCATTACTTGCCAATCCTTCCCAAAAAGGCTGAGTTCTCCTTTCTTCCTCAATGATGTCATCGTTGTTGTTCTTCCTCGTTTGTAATAAGACTAGCTTTGCTTTGTGATTTGTATCTCCTCTCTCTCTATCATGCTCTCCCACCAGGTTGCCTTCTCCAGGTGCTTCTTTCTCTTTCATCTGGTCATCTGTTCGAATTTGGGTTCTTTCTTCATGGAGTTCCCTTATATGGCTGTTTTCTGATTGTCCTATTGGGCCTTTTAGGATGAGTGGGCCCAATTTTCTATTTTTTTGGCTAAAACTCGAGGGGCATGAGCCCACATAGGACGTGTTTTCTTCCACCTCCTCTGTCATTTGCTAGTCTTGTCTCCTTTTCAAATTTGGCTCAGTTATCCATTGCACTGTCACCCTGTTCTCCTCGAGACTTTCAACCTTCTGTTGATTTGAAATTTGCCGCCTTGCATTAATTGTTCCTTCAAATTGCTTTAACGTCTCTAAGACTTTTTCAATTTCCTCATCTTCCGGTGTATGCTTGCCGGCCTGGTTCAACACTGTTATTCTTTTCTGTTTCCGCCTTTTCGACGACAACTTCCCAATCATCTCAGCTTTCTTCCTCATCTACCACACCCTAGTTTGATCCCTCTGACCAGGATTCTGAAGTGGAATCATCGTTTCTACAGAGGTTGAAGTTTGATCGAAGGGTGAATATATTATCCACTCCTACTTCCTCACTGATTTTGACTTGAAAGAAACAGTTTCTTACTTTAATCTTCAAAGTCTTATTAATGTTTTCCTGCAGTGGTGTTAGAATCGACACCTTTGTTACATCTAACCTGGACTTTTTGATTGTGCTCCCATCCAACGATACAAATTTCCCAAACATGCATGCTACTGTTTCAAAGAAGTTACTCTTCCAAATGTGCAGTGGCACTCCTTGGCATCTAAGCCATGTAAATCTCTCAACTGCTACCTCCTCTGGCGTCCATGGTCTGATGTCGATGAACCATTGTGATAGCCAATCTCGTCCTTCCCTGACTAGATGTTTGAGTTCCTCTTCATCCTCACTTGATATCTAAACCAAGTTACCCCCCATTGGAGTGATCTTAGCTAAGAAATAGCCTTCCATTGCGAATTTATCTTGTAATGTGTTGATGATTTCTGGGCACTTTGTTTGGCCGACAAAGCTACTCTTCAACCTTCTAATTTCTTCATCATCTGCTTTCACTTCTATCCCATATCATTGTTCACTTTCTGTCTTTTTTGCTCCTTCTGGTTTTGTCGATTTCCATTCCCAGTATGGCCTTATCATTCTTTCTGTCATTCCTTGTTTCGATTTTACCACATCTGCATATGATCGGGTTCTATCTTTCTAAATTTCCTTAGCACCAATGTTCCCTTTTTGCAGATCCTCGTGTGCCTTATTTTTCTCCCTTCTTTTTTGGGCATCATCCATAAAAAACCTTGCAAGGTTTGCTTGTAATGTCTGTTGTCTAAACTGAATCTGATTCAGTTGATATTCCATTGCCTTAGTATCCTCAAGTTCCAAGAATCTTACAAATCCGAAGCGTCTACCTTTTTGATCCCTTTTCTTTGCTATAAACACTTGTATCACTCTCCTAATCTTGATGAACACTCTCCACATATCTCCCATTTCCCAATCTTCCGAAAAATTGGTAAAGAAAAAGGGAGTAGCTCTTTCCAGAACACCCTTTCCATAATCGTAAGATGATCGTCATTGTCCTCTCGCCCAATCCTCTCGCCCAGTCCTCTCGATCTGTCCTCCCTCGTCCATGCAGCATACTTCTCAGAGGGTTTGATTGGGGTTGGGTTGTTCGGGTTGGTCTCTCTCTCACTGGGTGGCTCTCTGGATAGGTTAGATCCTTTCTCCGTGACCTAAGGTCAGCCGGGAAAGGGGTGGGGTACAGGTTTGGGTATCTCTCTGGTTTTCTCTCTCTATGATTCATTCTCGCTCTCTTTTAAGCATCCTAGGTGATGTTGATTAATCTGCTTAAATACATCTATGATTGAGACTTAGTGATTAAGGGTACGTTTGATATTATGGTTGAGAGTTTTTTT